TACATTTTTCGCTGTTGAAATACATTGATAGGAGGATTTATGTATTATCGGGACAGATATGTTGACGATCAACAAACGTTAGCTTTGAATATAAACATATGAACATTCGTTGAGTATAAATGAATACCTCCTATCAGTGTCGATGCGACAAAAATGTTCAGCTCAGAATTTTGTCGTTGAAAAAATAATTGATTCAATGATCGGAATGAAATTAAAATTAAAATTTTGAGAAGAACATAGAAGATTAGCGAAATCTATCTTCAAATAAAAATCTCAGTCATTCATTTAATTTAATGAAATCTTGAATTTTCAAAAAAACCAATATACGTTCTGTATGAAAACGTCAACGGCCATATTGACACATTGCATAATAGATTTTGAAAAATTAAATGTCCCAGTAATCATTTTCACAGTAAGTTTCCTCAAAATCACTTTTTAAATCCAAAGTTGAAATTGTAATATCAAAGTTTTAAAAAAACAAACAAACAAAACAAATCGCCCTCTAATGCTTGAGCAAACTGTGAATTGTGAATAAACTATAAAAATAAAAATAAAAAACTATAAATAAAAAAAACGGAAAAAGGCATATATATCTGAGAGGCACAACAGCATAAGTAACAGCATAAGCACAAGCATAAGTAAAGTAGTCAGAAAACATAACATCCGAACGATCTTCCAATCCCCAAAAAAGATCGGACAGATGCTACCGAGTGCAAAGGATCCAAGACCACCCCTGAGTACACCAGGAGTGTACGAGATCCTTTGCTCATGCGGGAAAGTGTACATTGGAGAAACCGGGAGGAAGATCAGTATACGGATCAAGGAACACCAGCGGTGTTCCAAATACGGTCACTCAGAACAGTCTGCCCTAGCTGAACACTAGATGGACACTGGATATACTATCCAGTACGACCAAGCCAGAATGTTGGCCAAATTTCAAGGGTATTTCGAAAGGAAACACCGAGAGGGTTTAGAAATCCATAAAAACCCTAACAACCTCAACAGGGACAGAGGATATCAAGTGAACCCCATTTGGAAAACCGTCCTCCCGGTTTTTTAATTGACCAGCTGATCAATTAAAACCATACGATTGGCTGACCCCCCCTTCCCCTTCCCCCACCATCACAGGGGAAGACATAAGGACAACCCCCAAACATCGGAGCTCAGAATCGGAGCTCATAGCCCTGAAGATGCAGACTGCAATGTTTGCGAAACCCTGCGGATACACTGTTGTGCCCTTTTTTTCTACATATAGCATTTGTTATATTTAATAATTTACTTTTTTTTAAGGCACATGAAAATTCATATCGAATTTAAATTCATACAGCATTAACAAATGCGTAAAAATTCCATTAGGAAAAATAATTTTATTAAGAAATTAAAACATTATTAAAAAATTAAATGCGAAAGTCACTAATGGACCAAAAATTTAAATACAAATAGCGATAAAGAAAGTTTTTCTATCCTAGTTTTTAAGCCTTGTAAATATATGTAAATAATGACTGTTGAATAAAAAAACTTTGGAAAACAAAAAAAAAAGCTACGTTTGCGAAACGTCGGCGCAATGCTAAAACCAAACGCGGCATCCATCCGGAAGCTAATAATATCATTAATAATGGCCGCGAAAGCATCAAAACTAAGGCATATATTTATGTTATATGGCCTTTTAATTTATCCTCATGTGAAAATGAACGGTGAAATATCGATGCACAAATTGGGTTTTCTTAAGAATCTTCGGCGAATTGTTCCATCTCAGGAACAATAGTAGTTTTAGTTTAATATATTGAACTAAAATTAGATATGTCAGTGTTATTCAACAATCCTCACTAGGAGCCAAAATTTCAAAAAAATTCCCTGACTTTTACCCATATTATAGTGCGCAAAAGTATTATATGTCAACAAAAATACGAAAATGTCGATATCTAGAAAATTTTCAAATAGGTCGGATTTTATATTTTATTAGAAATAGACAGATGACATCAAGACCGCCATTTTGAGAAAAGAAAAATTGAAATCGGACCAGTAGGTTTTGAGATATTGACCAACATTTTCCCATACAAAATTGAATATTTCTGAAAATACTAGTCCGATTCCGCTCATCTAGAATCCCAAACTATGTTGCATGAAGACATAAAATCCTACCAAGTTTCAAGTTTCTATCTCGATTATCTTTCAAGTTATCGTGCGTACAATCGATTTCAGTGAAAAATACAACATCGACAAATCATGAAAATTCCAATGTTGATTTTCGGGGTAATTACAATAAATAAATGAAAAAACGAGAATGAAGAAACGATTTAGTTAAATAGGTATCATGACGGATATTTAAAAAAATTAAATCGGTTGAATGGTTGAAGGAGATATCTGCAAAGAAAGACTTTTGAATAATAACAACACCTTCCTAGGGCCATTATACGGTCATGATATGTATACACAAAACTATCAATTTATTCTGAATCCTTGCCAACGTTTTAAGTGCTAAATGCACTCCTCACCAGGGCAATTTTATTCCATATAATCATCTAACTCTTCTTATTGAACATTATAATGTAAGATTTTTAATCTATTTAAGCAAATACATCAAATCGACAGCTCCCCATAACAATGATGGCATTGAATCCTTCATTATTGCCGGAGACCATTGTTTTTCTGCTCCAGTTATTCATTCATCATTCCTGTTTGCCCATTCTTCATCGGAACGACACGACCTATCCCAAGTCTCAGAACTGAGATTTTTTAGCTGAATTTCAGCGTCTTTGCCTGTTACAAGGATAAGGATTGCTACGGATCCATTCGGAAGCTTACTGCCAATGGAATTGGTAGAAATAAAAAAAACAGACTAATGACGCAAAAAGTAACAGCCACATGCCTTCTGTCGGATAGGCTCGACCCCCTGCTTGTTTTGTTATGCACTTCCAATGTTTCGATATGTAATATATTCATGATGTAACGTGAAACGATAGTGCTACATGAAAATTTATTCGAGTTCCCTAAAGCTCGAACGTTCTGAGATTTAAGCCATTGAAAATAATTTACTCTCTCAACACTGAGAGAAAAATTTCCGAATACGTAGACCAACGACCATATTTACTTGAGAGAAGTAAATTATTTTCAATGGTTTAAATCTCAGAATGTTTGCGGTTCACGGAACTCAAATGAATTCTCATTTACCACTATCGTTTCACATTATATCTGGAATATATTACATGTCGAAATACTGGAACTGCATAACAAAAAAACGATGAAAACCATAAATACTGGAAGATTGACGATTCTTCTACGCGATTTGAGTGAGTTCATTTGCGATAAAATCATACTTGAGTACGAGAATATTTTAAAGCATGAGACCTTTCTCGGGGCACGTGAGTTCAGAGGTCTGGCAGAATTAAGGATGTATTACACCCTTTTCACCAAAATTCACGTTTTTTGAATTTTTCTGGCAAATTATTGATCGAATTGACGTGAAAAAATATACCGTTTTTGCGTTTTATCATTACTTAGTGACTCACGAAATTTCATAATCGTGCAATCATTTTTCTGCATTTTTTCTAAAACTTTTGGGAAGTTCACAAAACTTTAGAAAAAATGCAGGAAAACGATTGCACTACCGTGAAACTTTGTGAGTCAGTCAATAATAATAAAACACAAAAACGGTATATTATTTCGCGTCAATCCGATCAATAATTTNACTCACGAAATTTCATAATCGTGCAATCATTTTTCTGCATTTTTTCTAAAACTTTTGGGAAGTTCACAAAACTTTAGAAAAAATGCAGGAAAACGATTGCACTACCGTGAAACTTTGTGAGTCAGTCAATAATAATAAAACACAAAAACGGTATATTATTTCGCGTCAATCCGATCAATAATTTGCCAGAAACATGAAAAAAACTTGAATCTTGACCGAAAGGGTATAGTACATCCTTAAACAATTGAGGAAAAATTGTTTCTTGTCTCAAGAAAGTACGTTTCAGATATTAGAATTATTTTTCTCAGTGAAGTAAATATGGGGCACATATTAGGATTTTTTTCTCTCAGTGCAGGACGTACCTAATATTAGTGCATCAGAGTACAAGGGCACAAATTTCGTTTTCGACGAATGTGAAATTTACAGGTCGAGCCAAAGGCGACTTCTGTACGGAATGATACAAAATATTATAGACCACTCAGGCAGAAATTTCATTTCAACGAATGTGAATGCAGCCCTCGCCCTCGACTCGACCTGTAAATTTCCCATTCCTCGAAAACGGAATTTGTGCCCTAGTGCTCTAATGTACTATTTCATCTAACGTTCCTATTTACTCCGTTATTTTATTCCATAAAAACAATTCGTGCGATTGTCCCAGCATCAAAGTACAATTTCATTAAAAAGGGAAATTTGAAATCGATGCATTCTCCAATTTATTCCCATCGCCAAAATAAAAATACCTCAAAGTGTTTCTTTTTGTGATCCACAAAATCCATTAATACTTCCACTACATTAATATTTCAATCTATTTAGAATAGCCCACTGAAAGCGATTCTAAAATTTCCCCCCAAATGATTTCCAATAAAATTATCCAAACATCAATAGCCAATATCTCCGAAAATTTCATTAAACCCGAACTCACAATAGACAATATATATTCCTCAACTCGATATACCAATGGTGGACGCAACTTGCAGATTGGCACTAGTATATATACATATACTACGTGCTCAAGTTTCAAATTGTCCACTAGTCTCTCATGCATTGGCCCCATATAAACTGAGACGCGTCCAAGGGTTACACCGAATTGTTGCATTTGGTTGTGGAGGGTCGAGTATTGTAGCTGTACATGCTGAAGCTAATAGCCGTATAGCCCGCAGGAATTTCAGCTGTAATGACCGCACCAGATGTTTCACTAATTATATAAATGTTGCTTTTTTTCCCCCTCGATTCGAGGATATTGGGTATTTCCAAATGGGTCACGAGGGGCCAGTAATAGTTGAATAATATTTAATTTATTTCAATTACTTACTCTGGCGATCGACCTCGTCGTTGACAAAATCCCCGGGTGAATCCCTGGTTGGTGGTGGTGTTGGGCGTCGCGTTACTCCAGCAACGAGAGACGACATCTCGGTGCACAAAGCGAGCGCGATAATCCACAGCATAGTGAAGAAACAAGTACTCCACGTTTATTTATCACCCGCGTACCATTTGGTCGTTTAATAAAAATTTTCACTTTTGTTTATTTCCTTTTTTTGTTATCACTCTGATTAAGCCACAAGCTGATCCTTGATCGTTATCATCAGTATTGGCATTTCATATTAGAGTACCCCTGTACGTCAATTACAATAAAATGAACATTGTGAATGAAATAAAAATGAATTACTGAGTGGGTTTCTGCAGGCAGTGCAACTCTGAATCCAATTATTGGGAATGAATTTATGCTCTGAGGGGTCTAAATTCATTTGCACTCTCGTTGATCGTTGTAATCAAGTTTCCCTGGCAATTTCAATGGGAATGAAAACATGGTAACGAAAAGATAGAATAATCTTGGCGCCCATTAGCAAGCTCAGTGCTCAATCCGCACTACTCCGGAAATACATAAACTTATCGATCATCATGGCAGACCGATCAGAGGGTACCTTAACGAACTTCTGGCGATAGTAATGGTAGTGGTAGACATCTTCAACGTCACCAATTCAACATAGATATCTCACCGGTGGGTGCAATTACTGATGGCCTCAGGATTCTCCTGCACTTCTCTTTTCGCATTCCCTCTCTCTTTTGCAATCGAAAACTTTTCCCTCAGAGGAACAAAAGCCATTGGCCCAAGACCGCGGCCTTTTAATTCATCCCCTTTTAATTCCTACCCGTCTCACTGATTAATAATTGCCGAACGTCCCTTTTCAAGAGTGGGTGGGAGATTTTCACCTTGAGGCAGGAGTTGAGGTGAATTTCGAACGTGAAAAGTTTCAGAGACGAGGGCAAAGTAGATGGCGAAAGAAAAAATCTAGAGCAGAGCATTTTTTTTTTTAAAGAAAGAAGGACAAAAGGCAAACGATCTAGACCGTGAACGTGCGTTCCTTATCTCATCGAAGTTTTCCTATGTTCTGAATACGAAATCCCCAGCATTTTATCTTAATTTTTCATCTACACGGGTATATACTTTTTTAAGGACACGGCTGATACCGACGAGATTGATATTATCAGGAGATAACTCTCAGGATGACTCTAGCACTGTCCCATTATCCGTTTGCGTCCGCTGTTCTCTCAAGCAGTTTGTAAGTACTTTTTTGCTTCTCTCCACTCTTACGGTCATTGGAGTGTAAGGAAAAAGGTTTTACCCCGTGGTAGGGTACGCTATAGCAAAATGAAAAGGAGACAAAGAGAAAAAGTGCTTGAGCCAAAAGGACCTAGCTGTGAGAAAAGTACGTTGACTTCTCGTAAGAAAAGAGCATTGGTGGAGCTTGTAAACTCACACTCTAGTCCTTTCATTTTATCGCACATTTGTTTCCCCTCAGATTCCACTGAAACTACATTCCAATATGTTATTGGAATATTTATTAAGGTGTTTCATCTGAAAAGTCAAAATAATGAAAAAAATTGAAAAATTCTAGGAAGAAGTACACTCTCAAAAATTTTCGTCTGAACGTTCCGTGCCAAATCCCGAAAATTTTTATCGTGTTTAAATTCTACTGAAATTTCAACAAATCTTGTCATTGAAAAATCGAATATTCCATTGATTTTCTGTTCAAATGATTTGGAAATCAATAAAATACTTGATTTCTCAGTTCAATTATTCTGTGAAAATTCATAACAATCAGGAAAATTCAGGGAAAAATTGAACATTCATGTCATTTTGTTTCTGAATATTCATGTTCCACTGAAAATTCAATCCAGTTGTGAAATTTCCATCTCACTCCCACTGAAAACCCATAAATTTCCGTGAATTCTACTTAAAACTAGAAATTTGATAACCATTTTCTCCCTAAATCCGATTCAATGTCACTCCCATGAGATTTACTATAATATTTTCCATGAAATTTTAAAAAATATCTAACAATCCATCGGAGTGTGCTGCATTACTGGGAATTTCCTCAAAATTTTCCCGGATCTTGAGTTCGTGAAAAAAAATGATGAATTTTCAACGGTTTTTGCATCCTCTCCAGCTGTAAGGCCAAGGTTATCACACTCTAAATACAAAGATTTTTTTCTGACGCCTCTAAAAATAATGAAAAATGCGTGAAAAACTAGAGTACGCGAGAAAGTCAATCTTTATTTCACTTTCATGCGACTTTTAACCGTGTTCTAGATCTTGTGACCAAGACATACTGAAAAGTAAACTCGTCGATTTCTGCGGTTTTTTGTTCACTCCACCATAAGATGTTGCACTGACGCTCTCGACCTCAGTGTCACGAAATTTCAAGGTCGGTATGAATCTTCTAGTCATTCGGTGTAAATTTTACAGAGAATATTGATTGTATCAAAAAAATAACGAAGTGTAGTCAACTATTTTTCGATACTTTTATTATTTTCAACTTGATTTGCAAATCATGTGCTTTCCCATTATCTCTAATTCTACAACTCGTCGCCCGTCAATGCAAGGGGTTTTTACTCGCGTGCCCATCACCCTCAACGGCTCAACGGTATTTCTTGTACTTCTTCCCATCTCCGATTGTTTCATACCTGTAAATTATACACTGCGTCCGTTACTAATTTACCGTTCCAACGTTTAGTATTTTTAATTGGAGGCAAACGATCTATTTTTTAATTATTTCTGTCACTGTCAATGGATTTAACGAGGGGACCACATGGGATCACATAGGTTATTATACACCACACACTTTTACCGAGTAGAATACTCTGCAGGACTACTAACTTGGAAACATGAAATGGTCACTTCGTGCGGTATTGCATTTTTATACAATCTCGATAACTATGAAGAAAATGTTGAAAAATAATGCAATACGCGTACCTAATTCCAATAAAATCAATTAATTCACGAAAAAAAAACCGAAGTATCAAACGTCAATATTATAATAGAAAATTTTATTTCAAAATTGGGATTTTTTGTGTTCAGCGATTGAATCAGGGCTCGATAACAATAGACCTCCCTTTCCGCTTCACCCCCGTCCCCCCCGGAAATCTAACGATGAAACACCTTAACTTGTATCAGATATTATAAAATCCTCTACCCCGTTCAATTCATGCAAATATGAATGAAAAATCCCCCCTCGTGTGAAAAACTGTCATGGGGTTGAGGTCTTTAAATCTCCATTACGGCCTATATCTAGATTATCTGAAATTTGAGCCCACTCATCCATATTGATGAAGCATATGGAATCCCCCCAAATGTAGTCAGCAAAACACTCTAAAAATAATGCGAGTTGGAGTACTGGTAGAAGCATCAATAAAAGTATCCACCAGTGGGGCGATGCAGATTGCCCATTGAGGCATTGAGTTTTCTACAATGACAAAGATTACCGGAAAAATTGGTTTCCTCAGATAAGGAAAGGACCAAGCCCAAGGAAGTTCTCAAGAGGTATAACGATACGATCGGGTCATCGATACCATTCAACTGACATTGATGATATTCGGTATCATACGAAACTCTCGTTATCCACAAGTAGAACTTGCCCAAGCATGCTATTCATCTGTACAATCTGACATCATACTGTACGCATATACAGATATTCGTACATCCTTGGATTTAGCCAACGCCAATCCAAGCGTTATTCCCTTCAATCCAGACCGCAGAAGCATATGAATTCAACCGCTGAGCGTTTGTAACCCATGCAGCAAGGCATATTTCAGAATCCATGAAGCCTCTGATGTATTCAAAGTTGGAATTTCACTGGATTACGGTTCGGGTAAAAGTGGGTCTTGAGCTTACTAGCAGTTGGTGAATAGCTATTAGCTGATCCACGAATGATGAACGAATGGGATGCTCCAATGATTCACAGTGCTTCAGTTAAGCTGCTATTGTCCCAGATTCGGTGCCAGAGTGGCAACACTCAAATATTAGAAGTAAAAGGAATTTATGATTTCCATTATGCTCCGTTATACATGAGTGATTACTCATTCGCGAGGGAATTAAGACTCTTCCGGGCAACTTTTCATTAGGGGATCTAATGCTCCTGGGTAACTCTTTTACCACGATATTATCACGACAGAGTGGCTCATATTGTTCTATGGGCTACTTAATTTACCTTGAGTGCAAGCTACCCCTCTTGTCTTACAGCCCATGTGCCAGAGGGATACACCAACTCTTCTTCGTTAGTCGTTAACTCTTTCTAAAAGGCTCTCAAGTGCGGGTCGTGAATACAGCTTCTATGAGTTGGGGATTTTACAGATTACATAAGTTCTCTTTGAGGTGATGAGGATACTTCAGCAGTGTTTTTCGAGTGTGAGGATAAAAATTATTCATGCTCTTAATTGTTATCGCTGTTAAGCTGCGCTTGTTTTTGTTGCTTCTCCTCATTAAGACGTCTGAGATTATTCAATCTTGCCTGACTTAGTTGGAAAGTTTTTTTTTACGCGAGCCAACGAGCCATTTTAAGGACAGTAAACCAAGACAAATATGGGTGATAAGAAAATGTTAATGAAATAAAAATAAAATTGTGCTTTCATTACACTACCTTAATTAATAATAAATTCCTTTTAAAAAATATATATAAGATCCTTCACATGGCACAAATCACTCGCGCACAATCATAATTAAATTCTTCATAACAATTCCAAAAATGAAAAACTGTCGTTGATTTGAAATTTCCCGGCATAAGATGTCTGAATTCGACACGAAAACTTTCCCCCGATCGAGACCAAGCGCGTGGAAGGTCCACGATCGTACTGAAGCTGGTACATAGGATGTTGAGAAAGCGCAGAAACTATCCACCACTTCCATCCCCCAACAATCAACCCCACTGACGCTTTTCGTGCAAACTCGGCAATCTCCGCGCGACTGCTCTATTCCCAGCGCATACGCAATACTGCAAAAATACCCTTCAGTCCTCTCCCCCTTGTCCTCTATTAAAGTAATGAATATGAAAAATTTATTACGAAGTAGTTATCAATATTGGAGGATTAGACGTAATCGCTTGGTAGTTAGACGAAGTCAGTTTCATGAGTATCAATAATAAAAGATGGGGAGGACGCGATTTAGAGGCGTGCCAAGACGCTTAGAACGCAAAAGTAATCGTGACGGAAGCACTTTGTCCTAATCATGTTTGCCGGAAAAGTTTTAGTTGCACGTAAATTGAACCATCAAATGAATTTGTTTGATGACACATATAGCATGATGAACCCATTTGGCTTGATGTAGCTGACAGTTTCGTGCGGTTGTGAGGAGAAAGTACCTCGTTACGGGGCAGATTGTTCGAGGCTGGTGTCAGTCTAATTACTTCATCAACTGATTGGCTGTTAGTGTCGCTACGTTAGTTGACCTGGCTGGAATTGAAACAATCAAAGGAACTCCGGTGGGTGGAGCTTCTTCGGTGGTAACCTGTGTACGGGTTCGCATTTGATGTCGCAGGATTATTCGAGCGACTTGGGGTCAGTGCAAGTCAGAAGGTGGCGGTGGAGGGAGAAAAGAAAGACGAAGTGTAGGGGAAGTAATACCTATACCGTTCACCTAAGGAATAACGATCATCTTCGCATCCCAAACCATGATTTACAATAAAAATTATAGTCGTATAGGGTGACAACACTAATTACCACATAGTAATGTAGTATCGAAAACTTCTAGCTCGACGACTGTTGCGACCGTGGGGAACTACATGAGCAATTTAGGGATGATATGTCTAGACTTTGGGGAATTACCCGAGGATAGTCTTTTATATATATTTTGGAAATAATCGGAGACGACAATTAACAATATTTTATTAGGGTATTTTATTGAGGTAGGATTAGGACAAGACGGATGAAGTCGGTTCGAAGTTTTATAGGTTTATTGAGGGCACGCCGGAGTACCCTCGTCGATGACTCACGACCCCTTGACAGACCCGCGCGGCCACATCTTGGGAATTTTCCAGAGGCGAAAATGACGAGTGAGGCCCAATGATGCTTGGTAGTGGGGGAAGAGGCCAGGAGGGAGGAATCAAGGGTCTTGAAGGGACGAAGGTGACATTTTAGAGTTAGTTGATTCTGGGAGTCGAGACAGTACAGATGGTATAGACGAATAGACGCATAGACGAACAGACGAAGTTTTGGTGTGAGGTATGAGACGATTTCAACGATTTGAGTCAATTAAAGTTTTAATACGAAGATGAAGTGTTTTGTAAAATAAACTGTGTAAATATTATATTCAAATTAAAGTGTGCTAAGAAAAAACTGTAGCTGTTTTATCTTTTGAAAAAGTATCCACACAGTGATTTAATCTCAACACGTAAATTCATCACATAGACAATTGATCTTAAATATATTGAACACAAAACCTATTCAATGCAGATCAAATTCAATACGAGAAATTCAACACTCATTAAAAACACAAATTTTTTACAAATTTACTACTAAACCCGTATAATTCCAATGATTCTCGTTCTATACAAAAACAACCGAGCTGAACTTTCTTTTTCTCTTATTTTCTCTGTCTGGGGTCAGTCGTAAGCAGACAAAAGATGAATACTCCAAGTAATAATAACAACCCAGAAAATCGATATTTGACAATCAACGTATAATCAGTGCGCTCGGGAATGAATAAAAGACATTATTGTATGAGCAATTGAACTCGGTTTTTATTAAGACGTGTTCTCGCTGCGAGGGCAGTCGCAGGACTGAATAAAGAATATCGAAGTCACAAAGACCATAGCCGTTTTTTTATGGTTTCTTTCTCACCAAGCTTTATCAGATGTTTACATTATTTAATAATCATTCGACCGGAGTTTCGTCGTAAGACCCTACAGACGGGCCTCTCCAGGAAGAGTCATCTCATAGTATAATAAACCCAAGTTATATCGTTCAGTAATATGATCGAATTGTTTTTGCTCTTTTCAATACAAAATAACAAAATATTACGGCTCTATTTCGTTTCAACATAATTAATCTCTTTTAGAAGAAGTTATACATTTGGATATTTATTCGTTATAACCATCCGAAAGAGTCCGGTAACCTCTCAAATAATGTATTGACGGCTATATTGAATGTTACAGCCATTATCATTTTCGAGTTCTTCTTTCATGATCCGAAAATATATTTTAAAATAGATTTTCATAAGAGTAATGACTAATTATGTTGTACTTACGTGATTCGGTCCGGTCACAAACAATTGTATAAATAAACTGTCAGGCACTGAGCGGTATTGACCTCCACACTGATAGAACGGATTAGTTATTGTTAACGAATGGATTTTGGTTGGACGTTAGGGTCTATTCGGTCCCACCAAATGTTTATTCGTTAATAGTTAACCAATGTACATTTGAGGAGCCTTGTTTGACTTGACTTTCGCCATTCAAGTGAACCATTCGTTAACTATTAAGAAATATTCATTTGGTCATATTCAACTCTACCATTCGTTAATAGTTAACGAATCTCGTTTGGAATAAATGAATCATTCTATCAGTGCACACTCGATGAGCGGTATTGACGACATCGTTTGAATTTGACAAAATATTCTCTAATTATTAATGAAAAGATGAAAAAAAAGTAAACTTCGGTGTGTTTTATCTGATGAAAAATTACATCCTAAAGCAGTGAAATTCTGGGCGTGCTATTTTTGTCATTTAAATGGGTGAAGATACGAAAATTTTCATGAGAATTACATACTGATAGTAGAGTTTTCAGACAGTTGAGTGAGAGACTGTGGAAAAGGCATGTGGTCGTGGAGAAAATCAGGTGAGCGGTATTGGCTGCTGAGCGGTACAGGGATCGCTTCCCCTAATCGTCCCTTTCTTTCTCGTCATTATTTTATCTTGCGCCTTTATCCGCGAACATGTTCTATCATATTTCATATGCTTCTAATTAATTCTTTCGCCCCAAACTCTTCTAATGAAGATTTATTGTCTATAAAAGGACTCTTATTCCACAGTCTGGGGACGAAAAGTTAAATGGGCCAAGATCGGGCCAGTACTGGCAGCCGAGCTACCAAGTCCTGGGTGCCGATCACCAATCGGCTTTAGCCTAACCTCGGCTACCTACTGGTTTGATAACGTTGGGCCGGTATTGGTTGCCAAGCGCCGGCCGATGATCGGCACCCGTGACCCACCCAATTATCATTTTAAATAGTTGAAAAAATTAATGAATACATTATTTTTTTATGATTTAATTTACATTCTTCGGCTAATTCTTCCTAAAGAAACCGATAACCGCTGATAATGATGAGTGAAAAGTTGGACTCGTCGGGATTCGATCCTGGAACCTTCGGGTTGCTAGTCCTTAACTTTACCCACTCGGCCACCGTAGAGTTGTTAGTTAGGAAGATGTTTATCGGCTATATGAATAAAACATACTATACTATCTGATTCTTCAACTTTTTTAAATTATGAAACTCAATATAGATATGGTAAAGTTTATTTATTTATGGTCAATAAATAATATGATTACAGCATTAAAGTCTCGAGTTTGAACCTAACATACCTTATGATTGTTTGACCCTTAGCATCTGTTTAGGCGTTTTCCTGTATGACCCCATGATCATTCGACCTTTTATAAAAGCTTCCAACCCTTACAAGTAGGTTTGCTAATATCCTTACTTGACCCTTATGACCCTTGTGACTCTCGTGAGTGTTTGGCCCGTTGGAATATTGCCCTCGGTTTCTCTGCTAAACGGTGACCCTAATCAGAGTTCGACCTTTGGAATTGGTTAACTTGTCTTTCCTGTTTAACTCTTATCAAGTCTCGGCGTCCGAAGTTTACCCAATTATTGGTCGAGACTTGGGGTGCGACGAATGGCCATTTGACGTTCAGCCGACACTTGGCCGTGAAGGCGTCGCCGAGACTTGACATGCCAATCCAAAGCCGATGTTTAGCCGTGAGTGGGTCGCCGAAGCTTGGCATGCGAGTTCTAGGCCGAGGCTTGGCCGATTCAACAACAACGGCAATTCGGCCCCGGGAGTATATAATTATCATCCAAGTTTTATAATGTTGTAATCGACGATGAAATCCAAAACTATCCGCTAATAAAACCGGCATAGCGTTTCTGAAGCATGAGAAATAAAAAAAGCACTTTAGGTCATCACAATGTCCGTCTATTCTCATGCGATAGTTATGAGCTCCGTTCTTTGTTGACCTTTAAAAATCCATTTCAATAATAGATTCAGTTTTTCCATCCCCAACCATCGAGCTCGGCTCAAAAATTCTATTGAAGTTATAAGGAACGGTACATAATGCCTAAGTGGTACAGCCGTACATAACGTCAGGCCGTCGGAGGTACATCTCTTAGGTACATATACTTCCTATATTTTTTGGTGGATTGAAAGTGCTAGCTCGCTTGTATATCCGTAAATAGTTGGTATATGGATAGCGTAGACGTTAGGATCGAATTGATTATCATAATACGATGATTCCTGTGCATTTCTGAGAACCATTTTTAGCGGTGAAGAAAATTTCCGACACGATATTCCCGAGGCGATTCACTACATCTGTTATAGACAGGTTCTTGTCATTGTTTATGTGGAATTGACTTTCATGGTAATGTGTCAGCGACGATCGAAAGCTGTTGTCTTAAATATAATGAATCTGTTTCCCATTCTTTGACCGTGATTCACACAAAAAAGACTCAATGGATTTTAATAGTATTTTTACTATTACATAGTTTAGGGTCCCCAATCGTCTTTAGAGTATAAGTTATTTATTACCCTACGGTGCATAGTTAGTATGTACCGTAGAAAATTCTAGAAAATTCTAGAGCTATCACGTATGAAAAAATGCTATAGGATTTTTTCATACGTGCTGTCTGGAAACTTTTGAAATTTTTTGGAAAATTCTAAAATTCTATTTTCGAGATTTAGACAAATTTTGAGGATATTCTTGGGTTTTATAGAATGTTCAAGAAAATCCTTTGGTTATATAAAACCAAAAAAACCCATGAAATCTATGGAATTTATGAAATCTGCGACATCTATGTATTCTTTGCATTCATGACGACTCATCCCACCTAGGGACATTTATAAAATCTACACGGAGAGAAATTTTTTAGAAAAATTCTAATGCTAGTACGGGAAAAGAGGCGCAAAGTGACGGCCAGAAAAAAATTCCAGGGCCGGCACTAGAAATTTTATTAAGAAAACGTGAATTTTTCCCCGTATTTCTGTGAAAATTTCACAGAAATCCCTCGAAATTTTACCAGAAATACCAAGAAATTTTACCTCAACAGCGCTAGAGTTTTTCACAGCCGGTGGATTGTGATTTTTTCCAGTACTCGTACTAGAATTTTTCTAGAAAATTTCTCTCCGTGTATGTCTCGGATTTTCCGAACAATTCTAAAAAATTCTCCGATTTTCAAAAAAAATTCGACAAGATTTTCAGTTTTACAGAAAATTCGAGAAAATTCTGTGGTTTCACATAGAATTCGAAAGAACTCTTGAATAGCCCGAAAGGTTCCGAGTTCAAAACCTGGCCGGGTAGAATGGTGAGATCTCACCGTTTGAAGTCTTGATCATCATCGCAGCATACCCTAACCGGGTCGAAGCGATGTAAAATGAGGATGAAAAAAAAAGAACCTTGAATTTTCTAGAAAATGAGACGAAATTTTTTCGGGTCTTCTAGAAAATTCAAAACCATTGAGGTGTTTTTTAATTACAGGAATTCTCAAAAATGCTGGTATTCAATTTTCTCTTATTCTACTCGCGCAAAGGCGAGCCACACAGATAGTTCTGAATAAAAACATTTTGAACATCACATTTCAGTGTGAATATTTCTTGTTGAAACGGTTACATATCAGTCTTTCAGTGTTCTTCGAACATTATTCTATCTTTTCACACTTTCTGCTTCTTCAGCTCTTGATTCCACCATACCTACTAGAGGCAATCTATTTCCGACGCTAGCTGTGAATCATATTTATAGAGACCCTGCACTTTCATACACAGTGAACAGTGGGATTTTATCACACACTTTTCAGGAAGGATTCTTCGAGATGGAAAACTGAACGAATGTCTGCAACAGCCATCGACTGACATAATAAAATTATTCGAAAAATCCAATTACTTTTGTTTTATCAAGCGAAAGAGAGAAATTTCAGTTCAGAATTTTATCACATCCTCTCAATGTCAATTTGAGAATTATGATGAGCGTAAAGTTAACATTACACCGCAATAAATTATCGTCAATTGCTATATCGGATGCGACAATTGTAGTAAAGCATCCCAGAATAGTTTTATAAGTATTGTAATGATTTCCACCGAGTTTGAAAAGTATTCCAGTACTTTTCACAGTGTGACCTTCTATAATGGCACCGACTTTGCCCGTTAACAATGGCTTTCAAATATCTTCCAATATCTTCCAATATCTTGAATGTCTATCTGCCTCGCTAGGCAAGCTCATCAATTCGAAAACTTTGTCTTTCGATTCTTGGTAAAATGCCATTGTACGCCGCCTCCAATCATATATATTTTCGTTCACAATCTCGACAGAAATGAAATCAATTAAGTTTTCAACGTTCGAATTTCTTACCCCGGTGTGTAATAAATAATGGTCGACTGCTTTCCAAACTTGTGCAGTTGTTCACAAATTTCCTGAATTCAAACCTATGGCGAAATGAAATAACTGGATTAAATCAAATCGACTGTTATCAATTTTTGGAGTTATTGAATTAGGTTCGATTCATTTACTTGAATCAAAAGGGGGAGTGGATGAGAATAAGATATCGCATCCTGGGAGGCCTGGGAAGTCTATCGGAAATGGTAACAAATTTGCTCGGATGTTTGATGGAACGTAATTGATCAGCTTTCACGATTCAAGTAATTAAAAATTCAGTGGGTGAAATTGCGACGCTAGAGCTATCTGAATTTTTTATACTTCGTGAAGCACTATCCGAATCCAATGAATGTTTAAAAATTTCAGGTGATGTATATTTACGTTACTCTGCATTTATATTATCTAATAATACATTTTCTGATGAACTTTAGAGTAAGATTAATTAATTAATCGGGGAGTCTGTTATAATACATCAATTAATCATAGGGTAGTGCCAACCTCTTAAAACTAATGGCATGTAAAAATAATTGTACATTAATCTCTTTCATGGCACTCGTCGCACATAATACGTACTGATAACTACAGCAAATGTACTACGTTACAAATTATGTTCATAAAATAAACGTTATTCTAATTACTATACACGAGAAATACTTGATACACGGCACCAGATAATCATTTTCATTCATCATTGCACAGTTTTATATCCCTCGAGTGGATGGAACACTGAGGGAAGCATCAGATGCTCTCACAGGAATTCTCAACATTCTTTATTTATAAACTTTTAAAACTCCTATTCATTGTGCTTCCACAGTTTGGAATTACTCCATATTTTTTCGTGAAATGAAATATGGATCCTCTATTACTAAGTATACAATGCCCGAAGAGGAAACTACGGTAGGAGATTTTTTTCTTTTCAAATCGAGTGCTTCGCATGAAATATTCTCTCAGTGAAATCCATAAGTGTTGGACAATAGAAAAATCATAACAAATTACTGTTTCAACATCTCAACTTTGAAAAATTGAAAATCACCGAAGGACGTTTAAACTATAAAACAGCTTCAGCAGTAAGTTTTTTTTAAAAGGTGTTGAAAAAATTCTTTACATAGCAAAAAAAACCAACGCATTCTCTCTCATAACGTTAAAAAAATTAAATTAAAAAGGCTTCTTGTTGAAAAGCCTCGGACGGAATTTTCCTCGAGAGGTAGTAACATATCTCCTCAGAAGTGGCAAAAAATTAATTTTTCACTACCTTCTTGCGTTATCTCTGGACGTCAATCTCTACCTGTGACAGTAGATCTGGTTCTGAAACAGAAAAACAAAAATCCCCACATTTTCAAAACTCAAATAGACTCAGAAAATGCAACATGAGAAAGATATTAAACATTCCAACTAACCACACATGCAGTTATGCAAGAACCTCATGAAATGATAGGGAATAAGAGTTTTAAAAAGCAAAAAACCAAAAGAAAAAATTGCAAATGGGATGGGAGATGCGAAGTGGGAGCGGAGGTAGACTGAGTCATAAATCCTGCACCTTGCCACCGAGACGTCGAGATAGAAGCACAGCTTCCGGCCTGCGAGCCCGTCTGCATCAACCACCCTTTCCCCTTCCCCCTCATCGTTTCACTTCCCTTCATTTTCGTCCCAACCTCCACTCAGTTCCGGTAGAAAGAGGGGATGGTTTTCTCTTTAGCCTACCACTCGCTCCTCATACTATCTAAGAACTTAATCACCTTTTCCGTGTTCTCGTCATGACACTAGCTCTGCCAACTAGACCAACTAACTGGCCCCATTTTGTTGTAAATGTTTGCCCACCATCTACTGGCCTATTTCGACGGTTTTTCGGTGAGAGAAATGAAAGGACACTTGTACACGCATCATTTCCCTCACTTTCTCTTTTTTCATTTTTCTTTCACCTCTCTATATCTCCCTTCTTGCATCTACCCACCGTTTACCCTCTGCTGATTTGCTCGAGGATTAGTTACAAGTTTTAAATAGTTTCAAACCAGAAATTACATTGTGGTAGTTTTGGTATTCAGGACACACTATTTGGTGGCTATGTTTTTGAAGAGAGTGCACCAGCAGACGCGTGTGGGGTCTTTAGAATTTTCGTCGTGACGAAATATGTTTAAGGCACATTTTTCGAATTATTTACATTTGCGGGGGAAGTTTAATGTGGAGTTAAGCAATTCATTCGAAGTAGTATGAACATGCTCTAGTTGGGTCGTTGAGTGCAAGGAGGAGAAGTAAATTCAAAATGCCCAAAAGGATTATTATCATTGAAAATTTCTCCCATGAATTTTTCTTTTACTTTTTTCAAAATCGTCTTTCGTTTGAATAGGGTATTTTCTGTGGCAGTACTGTACATTCGAAAGTATTTTCCGATGATGAGTGAAAAAAATTGCAATACTGAAATAAGATAACTCAATTGTGCCAGGAAAATATTCTACTCGGTGGACATCGCTCTATGGATCAAATAAATAATCGAAAGAAACTGAATCGGTAACAAAAGATAAAAGATAGTTTTAAATCAGGAATTCGATTGTGGTAGTTACGGTATCCATGATACACTATTTAGTCGCTATGTTTTTAAAGAGAGTGTAAATGCAGACTCATGTGCTGTCTTTAGAATTTTCATCGTGACTAAATATATTCAAGGCAGATTTTTCGAATTATTTACATTTGCGGGTAAAATTGAATGTGACGTTAAGCAATTCATTCAAAGTAGTATGAACACACTCCAGGTGATTCAATATGTGCAACGAGGAGAAATAAATTGAAAGTGCCCAAAAAAAAGGTTATCATTTAAAATTTTTCTCATCATTTTTTTATGAATTTTTTTCTTTACTTTTTTTAAAATAGTCTCGTTTAACTGGAGTTTTTTTTTATCAGTGGCAATGCTGTACATTTTGAAGTATTTTCTGAAACATATATTATTCGTGGAAAAACCTCGAAGCTATCAATAATGTCCACAGGGGTGAGTGGGGCAAAGGGGAACATTGGGCTGAAACGAGTATAATGCTTAATTATTTGGGGGTTTCCGCCCAGTGATTGTTTAGCCAACATCAAAGAGCAGCCACAGCCACCCGCAGCGCGATAGAAAAAAGTAAACACCTATGCAAAAACACCGTTCTTTTACTTTGCCTCACCGTTTCCACTTTACCCCGTCCTCCCCTATTTTTCAAGATTTTTTACCAGGTTTCAATCTTCTCCTTAACTTTGAAAAAGCCACTTTTTATAAGGCTCATTTTTATTTAGTCCTTCTAAATTAATTGTTATTAATAAAACTAGTGTCAATTAAGCATAAATTCCACTTAAGGTATTTATAGCGAGGTGAGCATGTCGAAGGTGGGTTGGAGGAGAATCTATTGTTCTTCACGTGTTATTAAACCACAGAAAACCAATCGCTGAACAAAAAAAAACGATATTTCAATTACAAATTTTCAATCTATTTCGACCATTTTTTATTCGAAATATTTTTTTAATAACTTTTCTGCACTGCTTCTCACGATTTCTTGTCTGGGAATTGGTGTTGCATACTTCCCAAACTCGAAGCTTGAAACTTGAAAATCACTACAAAAAAATCTTATCCCGGGCTGCTGCCTCGCCTCCGGCTCGGACGCCAACGCCACACTAGTAAAAAAACCCCATCGCAGCAGCTCGGAAAAATACTATTTCTATTTTTTCCGACATATTACAAGCGTTCTTTTATTTTCTTAGCTTTTGGATAATTGGAAAATAATTAATGTAGATAGAAAAAGTGACAACGTCGTGCCGTTCGAGGCACAAGTTGGCAGCACTGATTCACTCAGCTGTTATGTTCCTTCTCATAGCGAAATGCATCATCACAACTCCATTCGTATTTACCGCGCTTACCCCTCCACGATTTCCAACCTCGACGTTGGCGCTATTCCAAGTTGTGCACGCAAAATTTCTATTTTTCATGAGTTTTTTAATTATTCCTTTTATACAATTCTCCTAGGCCACTTGGATTATTTTATTTTATGTTTCTTCGTGAAAGCTCCGCCCAAGTGCGTAATTTCAGGAAAATGGCGACTTTTTTGTCTATTTTTAATATTTTTTTCCGAATTCCCATAAGAACCCATCCCTAGTGGAAAAACATAAGGTGGAGGCGTAACATGCCTGATCAGAATTGCGGATCGAACTTGATCAGTTTCTGATCGAGACCTGAACAGAATTTTCACTCGGGTATGAGTCAATTTGAGAGTGAAATTCGTAAGTGTCCTGGTAGCTCAGACGGTAAGAGCACCCGACGGATATATAATTATAATCGGCAATTTCTCAAACAAAATGAATTGAGATACCCATTATAAAAATACAATTAATTGAGTTAAAAAAAAGGAAGGAGAGGAGAGGGGGAGGGGAGGGAGAGGATTTTTTCTTTCTTTCTTTTTTTTCCCCTTTCCTTTTCTTTTTTTTTTTTTGTTTCATTCAGAAACTAAAGATGCAAAAACAAAAAAGCCCTTTTTGTTCTGCAAATAACAAAAAAAATCCTATTTTTCAATTTTTTTTTTCAGGGCTATAAAAAAAAACTAATAAAGTTAGCAACCAATAACGCTTATTATAACAAATAAATTGTTATCAATTTGATAAAAATGAAGAATACCAATCTGTATTTCTTCCTGTTAATGTTTAAAGCTCGAGAACCATAAAATGGTCAAAGTTTATACCAAGTGAAGATACTACTCAATAAATGTTTTCAAATCTAGTTTTAAATATTGTAAATATGTATATACTGCTGCTGTTAAATAAAAACCATTGATAAAAAAAAAAAAAGTAAGAGCACCCGACGTAACATTGGGGAGGTCCCCGGGTTCGATTCCCGGCTAGGAAGTGACTAATTTTTTCTCTCAAAAAAATTAAATTTAATTAATGCCTAATGATGGTAGGTGGAGAAACCCTAGTGGAAAAACATAAGGTGGAGGCGTAACATGCCTGATCAGCATTTCGGATCGAACTTGATCAGTTTCTGATGTTGAAATGCAGTTTTCAGAAAAATTCCTGTGTTTCACCCATTTTCCTAGGCTATCGAGAATTTTGCATACACTGAGAAAAAAAATTTCTAATATCTGAAACCATATTTTCTTGAGACAAGTAAATTTTCTTCAATTGCTTAATTCTCTCAGGCATCTCAACTCACGTGACCCGAGAAAGGCCTCATGTTTTAAAATATTCTTGTACTCAAGTATGATTTTGTCGCAAATGAACTTACTTAAATCACGTAGAAGAATCGTTGATCTTCTAGTCTTTATTGTTTTCATGATTTTTTCGTTACGCACTTCCAATATTGCAATATGTAAAATATTCATGACGTACCGCGGAACGATAGTGATGAATGAAAATTTATTCGAGTTCCGTGAAGTGCACACATTCTGAAATTTAAGCCATTGAAAATAATTTACTTCTCTCAAGAAAATATGTTTCAGATATTAGAAATTTTTTTTCTCAGTGTAGGGGTTTTGAAAAAACCAAAGAATGTATTAAAAAAATAATCAATTTCTTGACTTTTTTTCGACCTTCCCTGACTACGCGATAAATACCTTAAATGGTTCTATTCCTACGAATTTTCATTTAAGATTTATTTTGAATTTTGATATTCAAAAATCGAGGTGTATTCATGCTACTTTAATTGTGCGTGCTGTTAATTTGTGCTCTTCCCAGGATTTTTTCAGTAGTTGTCAAGTTACTATGGATTTTACCGTTTCTATTTTCCTCCATGTAAAGACTTGTTCTTTGGGATCTTCTTCTGTCACTACTGTATCTCACTCTTGGCTCAATACGTTGAGCTGATACGTACGTGGGTATTGTGAAATCGTCGGGAGTTGAGCGCTCTGGGGCACGAGAACGCTTTCTGCATACAGCAACACCGATAAATATTCCAATGCCGATGAATGAAACCGCTCCCACAACTGAAAAATATGAAAAAAACGACATGGTTTTATTAAAGATGAGAAATACTCTAGCTTTACAGGTTCTCTCCTGCCGTGATGACTAAAAAAAATGCTATATTGAAATAAGGTAACTCAATTGTGACAGAAAATATTCTACTCGGTCGACTTCGCCCTATGAATTTTCAAATAAGTAATCGGAAGAAACTGAATTCGTAACAAAAGATCAGTATCGAAAATGAATTCAAAATTTGTGCCTGAGCCCGGTGGCTTGGCGCAGTGGGTAAATTAGTTGCCTCACATGTGAAAGGTTCCGAGTTCAAATCCCGGCCGGTTAGAATAGTGCGATCTAACCATTTAAAGTCTTGATCATGATCGCAGTATAACCTAATCGGGTCGAAGCGATGTAAAATAACGATAAAAAAAAATGTGCCTCAATCGCACAGCTAATTAATTCTAGTCTGGTCACCAAACGCGTCCCCGCGACTATGGTCGTCTAGGCGAGGATTCGCCACCGTGTTATTTAGGCTTTAGCGTTGCCAAATTCACTCTACACTACCCGGCTGCGTTTAGAGATCTTCCAGCAACATCGCGTCATGGGCAATTTCATTTAACATGGGAAAAAATAATTCATCTGTTCAAAATAATTTCTTTTCTTTAGGATGTTTGAGAAATATCTTGTGTTAAAAAGTACTATAATTTTTTAGACACTTCAATTGACAAAGTCAAATTGTTTTGAATTTTTTCGGTTAGCCAGTCAATTGTAATTTAAGAAAAACGAGGCTCGGCGGGGTTTCCCTGATAGGGGAACCAATCTAGGGTTAATCTGATCATACAGGTGCTGAAATATCAACTTTGGCATTGTAGAGGGTATGCCGAGCCCAGAGCAACAAGTCATTTAAGGATATCCAAATACTTTGGCTATTTTTGCTTCCGAAAGAAAGCTTTGTAATCGTTCAAATTTAAGGTTTAGATTTTTGACGTGGATACGTTTATGGTTTTAATATGGGGCATCATTTTGGGAAACGGTCGTTATATGCAGCGGCATCTATCGAAATTCTAGAAAATTCTAGGTATTTCAAGGTAATTTGAGAAGTTTCTTGAAATTTCGAAAAATTTCAGTTTCTAGAAATTTTGAGAAAATTTAGGGAGTTTCTAGAGAATTCGAGAGAATTCACAGTTTCCAAAAAATGCGAGGGAATGCAAGGAGTTTCTAGAAAATTCTAGAAAGAAGGAAAGGCCATGGATATATCCATGTACAATTACAGCTGTATCGAAGATACAGCCGCCTGCAATTTTTTTGTGTTATATTGATCCCGAGGGGCTACCCCAGGTAGGAACTGACGATAAAAACAAGGCTCATTAAGCCTTGAACCAAAGCACGAAAATTCTCAATCAGGACTGAAACCGAACCTTGAATCAGCTCTCATTCAGTCCCAAAATGATAACCTGAATTAAGAAAATTCAATTAGCGATGGAGGAAATTCTAGCTGAACTGAATATATTTTATACAGTTCAATTACGTCAATCACGGGTGTAATTAGTACTTTTCTTGGCTTCAAAATCTTCGAAATAAATTATTGCGAGATCAAACTGTAAGTAATTAATTATTCCCTGTCAAATAATATTTTTTCCTCGTTATTTTTAATTCTCTGTTAATTGTTATTTATTTAGATCCTCCCAACGGAATCTTCCATTTACCACTATTAGTATTATAATTTCACGTCCGCCAAATCGTCGTCGGAATTGGGTTTACGCCCCAGATTATTTGTTTTCTTCATCTTTAAAATTTTATTTCACATCCCCCGCCAAGTTGTTTGAGATTATTTTATTATACTAGCGAAATGGTGCTTCGCGCAGGTCGCTCGATTAATTCATACTATTTTATTTTATTTTATTTCCATTTCCGTCTTCACAATTAGATTAATTCAATTTTATACATCCTTATTATTATTACATATATATATTTTTTTCCTTAATTCACAAATTACAACATTGAATGAAGAGGACTTATAGTAAAGATTAATAAAAAGTGTTTTTTCTTTGTGATCAAAACACAGACACAAAAGTCATTCGAAATTTCCTTCATATAATAGAAAAATGTCTTTATGTTTTCCTGAACATTAAAAAAATCTATTTTTCCCTTCACATGGTAAAAGAATATCGGTACTCCTCATTCCTATGGTCGGATTCTAATCGTTATTATGAAAAGGAAATTAAAGAAGAATCAGAAAGAGATAATCGGCTAGAAAATGATTTTTTTTCTTTTATGTCAACTGGAACTTCGAATCATTTTTTTTCTTCAAGTATTAGAGCGACACCAATATTTCAGCGAAAAGAAATTCACAAAAGTGAGAAGAACTAAAAAATTAATTTGTCAATGTCTCCGGAAAGTTTTAAAATCGATAGGTATATTTTTTCGAATAGTGCAAGAATACTCATACCCATAAATTCGATTTCGATCACTGTTTTTTGGTAGAATGAACAGAATAAATAACAGAAATTGAGAATTGGAGACTAAAAATTTTAACGGATTATTTTTCCCAATCGGATTTCGACTAATCAGACCGCAGTATGAGGCTACCCGACAGTTTTTGTTTCGACCATGTCCCCCTAGCTTTTGAATATTTCGCAGTAGGTCTTCATTTTTTTTACCTAAATACCTCATTTCAGATAGAATCTTATATTTGACAGTCTATGAAAATCGGGTTATTCTATTAACATAATTTGTTCAACTCTTCCCCAATTCACCTCCTGATGTTGTCCACTGCACTCTGCTTGGCCAAAATCCGATTGGGAAAAATAATCCGACAAATACCCCTCGAGATTCAAAATTAATCGAGTATTTCCCTCAAGCTCCCCTGCAAATAAACCATCGTGCCAAGTTTTGCAGAAAAATTCCTCGCGCAAGCGCTCGGGATTCTTTAACCTGCGAAACTTGACATCCTCATTTGTCTGCAACGAAGCTATCAGTAAATGCCCGATAATTTTGAAGCTCTTGGGGTATTACTACTGATTATTATAATGTAATAATTAAAAATTATTATTATCACAATATACAACTCTGAATACTCACCAACTCCAATAATAATAATCATCATATTCTGCGTCTCTCCACTGGGAATGAAACTTTTGAGTCCATTGATTACAAAACCCGCACCACCAGACTGCCCAAGATTCCTTCCAACAGTCTCCGTAATGCGGACATTTCTTATGAGCCTGGGCTCACTCTTGCCCCGCTGATTAATAGCGTAAACTGCCAATGTATATTCAAAACCTGGTTCTAAATCATGAAGTTGAAATGTTGGACGTGGATTTTCCGTTCTATAAATTGGGGGAACTGCACCCGCCTCCCCCTGGTCACTTTGTGGTGTCTGGAGAGTGTGGGAGGTTTGGAAGAGCTCCGAGCCTACTGCAGAGCCACGTACTTCTAGCAGGAAGTGCTGAGGCAAACCACCGTCCGAACCGGGGATGCAATTTACCTCGAGTGCGCTACTCTCGTTGTACAGTGCACAGTCTACTGGCGGCTGTGGCACTTCTGTAAATGAAAAATATATACATGTATATCTATACGTACTTTGTACTGAGTAAATTATCGCGAGACGCTTCAATATGAAGTTCTCGCGTCCGAATAGAAGCATTGCAATCGTTCGATTTTTATATTTCCTCATTTAGCTTGGAAATTATGTAAAATTGTTGGAAACGTGAGAACAAGTGGGAAAATGAAAAGGTAAAAAATTCAAATTTTTTACCTTTCCCTGAACATTTGTTAGAAGAGAAATTTTTTCAACAACCGATGATGCAATCAATCTCATAATCGATCTCGGTTAAAGAACTTCAGCAGTAAATGTTGGGGCTATGAAATGGGGGGGG